TGTGTGTAGTCCTCGCCCGCTCCCACACTTTGAGGTCTTTGTCAAATTGTGCAATTGTTGCTCGGGATAAGAAACCGTGTGTTAAGAGCCGCATTTAACACGTGTGGCACGTATTTCATTTTGAAAAGCCCACAGCCGAATGCCCAAACCCAAGTCAAAAACTTGTCTGGTTAGTTAAGCGAGAAGCAATGAACCTGCGGGGGCCTAACCAACGTGTACCACACGGCGTATGCGTAACAATGCCTAGCACTTTTTGTTGACAAGGCGAGCGCATGTGAAAACGAAAAAAAATGAGCTGAGGCACGTAGTACATGGGATTTTTTCTTGTTACGGAGCAGAGGCATGAGTAGGCAGAAGGCAGCACAAAAATTGTGACAGAGCGAACGAGCGTGTGCAACAAAGGCGATATGTGGCACAAAGCAAACCACAAGCAGAATGCACCCACTCAGGCAACATTTCCCTTGCAGTTTTAAAGGCAAACATTTTGACCTTTAACGCAAGTTAAGCAGCTCCTAAGCACCCTGTCTGAGCTTTATAAATTATTCCATTTGGATTTTAAGCCCTGCATGCATGGAAGGGCGGTTGCCCCCACTGGAGAGGGACTAAAATAAAACATGTGCTAAATAAATAAATTGCCTCTGCGCGTTATGCTACAGCAGCGGCCACAGCAGCAACAGTAATTTTGTATCAATTGTTGTTTTTGCTGCTCCTGCTCTTCTGTTTCTTTTTTGCTGTTGTGCTTGGAGTTGGTCGAGTTATTTGCCCAGCTGTCCTTTCAGACATAATCCTGGCAGCGCACTCCGGACACATAAAGAGCATGTGTTATGCTGTGACATCGAGGGGTCTAAACGAATGCTACAAATACACACAGCTACTTCTATATATACACATACATATCTATCGAAATATGTGTAGGGACATGATGTATCCTGTGGCGCATTTCCGTTTAGTCTGCCCGAACTGCTTCGCATTTACTGCTCGCATTTTATTTGATATATTAGCTACTTTGTGTGCACTTCAAATCTTCAACTATGCGGCGTGTACTCTATAAATCAGCGACAAGTTCTCTCAGACATTTTGCATTACCATGACAGCTGACAGTCGGGACAACCAGAAAATTCATACATACATACGTTTAACGAAGTTTCCGCTTCATTGTGATGATGTATTTTATGATATATGGTCTCTTAGATATGAAAAGCGGCGCGGCTTGATAAGCGGCACCTTAAAATGCGGCTTTTCCTTTTCCCTTTTGCCATGTTCAATGTGGCGTATGCGTAATATTATTTTTTAGTATTTTGGTTACGGCTCTGCCGTGATTTATGTGTATTTAAATTGAATTTAAATTTAAATGCGAAACTTAAGCTGCGTTCAAAATATGCTTGACTTCTGTTTGGGAATCGACGGGGCGTGTGACAGAAATAAAATATCTGTTATTATTTACTTTGTGTATGTAAATGGAAATTTCTGTTTTGATTAATAATCATGCGCTTCACTTACCGAAAATATTGCCAATCAAATATTTTCGTATAAAAGATGCGCTATATACGATTGCCGGTTAAATTTGGAGCCTATTAAGAGCTGAGCCGTGAGTTATTTTGCATTTTGACCGGCATTCCTTTCGTTTCAAAATGATATCATTCTTCATGGCTTTCGATTTGCAGTTGCATATTTAAGTCAGGACTTTATCTTCATTTGAAATTCATTGTGACAGCTCAAAAGAGCAACAGAAATCTTTGCCGAAAAATTCAATGGCCAGCAGATTGAGATTGAATCGAGTGAAATCAAAAAGGGATTTGCATTTGCTGCTCTTGTTGCATTCAATTTGCCAAATGCATATTTGTTGATTTAAGCCCTTAAATGCATTTTGCAACAGTTGTGCAGAAAATCCCCCTTTGTTTTTATATCCAAGGCAGAATTGTTAAACTCTGGCATAACAGATGTCCCCAAGTGCAAATGTTGCTGTAATATTTTTACATAGCCCAAATCCCAGTGTTGACAATGCTTAAAAAACTGAATATTCAGGCGCACACAATAAAAAAGTAATAATAATAATAAAAACAATAAACAAACTTGGCATTGTGTTTATCAAAGAATATTTTTGTACTCAGCTGCTGCTGCCCACGTTCACATCAGCCAAAAAAGTATATTTATTTGCTTTAATACAATATGCAAGGTCATGCGGTTGCTCAATTTTTATGTTTATTGCATAGGAAATTAAAATTAATGCCTTTTGTAATTGCTTTTAAGTAGCGATTGTTTATTTGAAGAAGCATACGCTAATATTTGCTTAATACAGACAAGCACACACACATACACACACCCACACAGATGTGCGAAGCCGCATAAATCAGCGGAAAAGCTTTTGTGCAAAGCGAAATAGAGATTTTATGATATATGCGCCCTAATAAATTCTAAATAAAAATGATTTATATGAGAGTAAGAGGAAAAACTATTCGAAAGATGTGCAATAAACCATACATAGATGTTGAAAGTTTTGACAGCGAACGAATTGAAAATAACACCCACACACACACACGCACAGAGTCATCAAAGCGAGCATAGACATGTGTGTGTGTGTGTTCTCATTACTCATACGTCACGTGTGCGTGGATCGGAAACGAGCATTGGAAGCTGTCATGAAAACTCACATCGATAGCTAGCGAAATGCAGTTGAAAAGCCAAACAAATTTCATGCGCCTCGCTACCTTTTGTTTTCCATTCTCTCTTAATGCGTTTTGCAATATAAAAAAAGTAAAGTAAAAAGTAAAAAGAAGAAAATTACGACTGGAACATTGTTTTTCACTGTGCTGAAGACCTCAAAATAGATGCTCTCTGGCTGGCTTGTACATTTCGTATTTTATGTGTTGCCTGTTTTATTGAAGTTGTTGTTGTTGTTGTTGTGGTTGTTGTTGTTGTTGCCCGGCTACTTGCACCACACGCAATTTGCCAGCTGATGAATGCTTGGGCCACGCTTTCGGCCTAGGCATTTTTTATTGCTAATTTCTGTTATTGCCTTGCGTGCACAGGCCTCTGTCGATGTGAATGTGGATGTGTGTGTGCGCACTCGTAAAAATATTTTTATTAGCATTGGGTGCGCTGACACGCCCACACGCACACACTCACACTCACACTAATTCACTGAGAGTAAATGCTGCAAAGTGTGCTTTGATATTTTTTGCACGCATTTAACGTATGCTTCTATCAATAGCTCAACTTTTTGGCTTATTGCTCTCACCTAGCCACACTTGCCGTGCCCCTCCCACTCAGTGCCTTATCAGCTTGGCAAGTTTGTCGCCTTCGGACTCGTAAAATTTAAGTGCTACCAAGCTGTTACTGACCCGCTTCCTCTCTCTCCCTCTCTCTCTCTCTCTCTCTCCTGTTCTCTCTGCCTCTGCCTGTTAACTTACTGCAAATTGGCAGCTCTTTTATAGCTTTTGCCGGTTAATAAACAAATTTGTCTGCTCAGCTTTTGGCGCTGGGCTGCATAATAAATATATAAACATGCGTTATCCTTATCAACCGCTGTTGCCTCACAATATTTACCCATTATGTGCCCTCCCAAGTGCAGCTACATTTCGCCATTACGCAGCACTTTTAGCCTGACTTAAACACTTTTCTCAACACCTCCTTTTGTTTCAACACCTGCAACAATTCATTTCAATGCGCATTCACTCGCTGAGGCTTTAAGAGCGAGCTGCCATTTGCCTAAGCGATGAGATTAAGTGCATGTGTGTAGGTGTGTGGGAGAATGCATTTGTGTGCGTGTATGTGTGAGTTTACTTCGCAGCTAGCGCAAATAGCGCTCAATTCGTACTTGTTCGTCGGAGCTCATCTACTCTAAACCTAATTCTATCTTCCCGCCACGCTTGATTGCAGCTCTGTTGCACACGAGCCGTCAGCCCTTAGCTTTCAGCCCAACACCCTGCCACGCCCCCCACTGCAATCAGTGCTCTGCTAACTGGGCTTTAGCTTTCAGCTGTCTGTTGACTGCTGTTGTGGCTAAAGTTGCGCTTTGTTTCGGACTATTTGGCTCGGCTTCCTCTTTGGCTCGCATCCGGCTCGGCGCACAGCGCACAAATGCAATTGCAGCTGCCTATCGACAGTTGGGCTATGCATGCGTGTGTCTGTGTATATGTGTCTGTGTGTGGTCAATGGTCTGTGTGACATAGCTATTTCCATGTTTGCCTAGCTGTTAGCCAGCATGGAATGCAAGGCCTGCTGTGCGACAAATTTGAGCATTGTATCAATGGGAATGTTTAAGAAATTGAATCTGAGGAATTTAGACGATAAAAATATTTAAGTAAATATAGGAATTGTGAAATAATTGATTCAATTAGGAATTCCGTTTCTTAAATAATTTCATCTTGACAGTTGACCTTTCTCTTTCTCTTGCAGCTGACTTTAATATATCAATAAGGTTTACAGCACTTTTTGTAGCACCTACTGACAACGGGTTGAGCACTTCAAATTCAGCTTTAACATACATTTAATTTTTTGTGCGTATTTGCTGTAAACAATTCGAATGCGAGCGTAAAAAATGAATTGTATACTTTTGGGTGTTCGAATTAAATTGCGTTAGCCCGCAGCTGAATTCAGGAAAAGGCATTAAAATAACAAAATGAATAAATTGTGCATACGCACACACACACACACCCACGCACACAGCAACAACAACAACATCAGCCCGCATACGTAGCGAATTGGCCGCAAAACCAATTAAATTGCGGCTCAAACCAACTGTAAAACAAAAATATGCGATTGCATGCAATGATGCGCGAGTAGCAGACGCATACGCATACATATATATATACACATATCTACACTCACGCACACAGGAACATACATATACACGCATTCATTCAAAAGTTTTAAGAGCCTTGCCTAGATTTAAACGCGTACCCCCGCCCCCTCACAAAACATATTTGGCCACATATTAAAAGCCAACCCGAGTCGACCCCAAAAAACTAATTGCAACACTTTGAATCTCGCTTTTGCAGCATACTTTTTGTTGCATGCAACGGTTAAGCGATGGCTGAGCAGAGCACCAGCAACAGCAACAGCAGCAACAACAACAACAACAACATCAACAGCGGCAGCAGCAGCAGCTCCACTTACAACAGCGTTGCTGAAAGCGGACCAGATTTTGATGCACTGCGTGCGGCCTGCAACGCGCATTTGAATAGCAGCCATCCACTAACAGGTAAGCCAACAATAACAACAGCGCATTCCACATGCCACATGCCACATGCCCCGCCCACTGCAGCACTCAATATACAATTTGTGTAATCCGTCTTTAGGTCCACATTGTGCGGGCACTTTCGATGGCTGGCTTTGCTGGCCCGACACGCGCGCTGGCGAGTCCGCCTACGAGCTCTGTCCGGGCTTCATCACCGGCTTTGATCCGACACGTAAGTAACGCTATTTTATTGACGCACTTGTTTGTTTGACAACATCCGGGGTCCAGCTTACGCTGCTGCTGATTTTGACAGCAAATCAAATATTCGAATGAATTTATTGTACAAATGAGCGAGGCAACCAAATGTCAGGCCCTCGAATACAACGGAAGCGGAAATAAGGCAAGGCTGCGGGCTCCAAGCTAGCAATAGGCATGCCCCCACACACACACACATACACACACCCGCACAATCTGAAGCACACATGCCTGAATAAGCCGCAAACCAAAATTCGCCCAATTCCACCTGGCATTCTAATTGGCCGCATTCCCTTGTGAGGAGGCATCTTTTAGGCCGCATTTCCGCTTCCGCTGTTGACTTTGGCGTAAAGCAGCTGTTTTATCTTTCATCTATTATTAAAAGATGCTACCAAATCAATTTGCTTCTTAGCGCTGACTTAAATATATATAAAACACACGCATACACACACACAAGCCGCTCATGTGTGTGCGTGTGTACTCGTGCATAAAGCAGCTGCTTAAATTGTTTTTTTTTTTTTTTTTTCTTCTTTTTCCTCGTAGCTCTCAGGCCACGAAAGTTGTTGCGATTTCCTCCTATTTTTTTGGTTGGAAATCAATAACTGAAGTTTTGCTGTGAAATATGTTTTCATTAGAGGAAAAAAAACAACATCCATAACAACAGCAAACAATAAGCATTGTTCAAGTTTTGAAGTATCAAAAAGTAAATTGTACAAGTTTTACAAGTCAAGTTTTCTTTATTATTATTTTTCTTTTTTTTCTTTTTTTTTTTTATTTTTTTTGCGCAATATATGAACTAAAGCTCCAAATCCAAAACAAAGTCAAATAAATGCCAGAATCTCGAGCGCATGAAAATGACACAAGTGCCACTTGAAAAGCTGAATTAAATTTAGAGACCAATTTATTAGCAGATACATAGCTTTAAGATATATATGAAAATATCTCAAAGTATAGATGTCAATGCAATTGACAGAAAAATTTTAAGTAAATTAAATTAAAATCAAACAATTCTATTTAGGCATATTATATGTATATGCCCTGTAAATAGTCTAAGCCATTTGTTTTATTATTATTTATTTGATTATAATTTTATTATTTATAAATTTAATTTTTTTATTATATATCAATGATTCATTTTCTTTTGGCTATCAAAGTTCACTTTATTTTGCCCAAATAAATTCATTAAAATTTCATTTCGTTTACTGATAATAAATAAAATTTAAAATGCCAGCTAATTATTTGGCCGGCTTTAACAGTCAACTTCAATTCAATTATCCATCCATTTGGTTAATAAATTTCTACCTGGTATCATTGCCTTTAGCTATTATCTTGTCTGCCACACACTCACATTATTAAATCCCCCATCAACAATAAACCCAACCGTTTGATATAAATAAACGTAAACGCAAACAGAAAACAGGAAAAATAAAGTTGAACATTTCACGCTATCAAAAACATAAACCACAATCTTTGAACCCACTTAATTATATAGATACAAAATGGCGTATCATAGCCAACATGTGAGCAGAGCTTCACGAATTAGCCAAGCGCAATTTCCTGTTATTAGCTCGCGGCGAACTTTTTTTTTCTCTTTTTTTGTTTTTGCCAGATTTTGTCGGCCAACCAAAGCCACTGAATCGTTTTAATACAATAATAATGAATTATTCAAAACTGCATGAAATTGTTTATGCTAGGCAAAAACAACATAAAAAGTGGAATATAATTTAAATATTTATGCAAAAATAAAAAAAAATAAAACCTAAATTAAAGCAACGAAGTTAAAGGAATAGGTAAATACCCTGTAGTGTACATAGTGTCCATATAACAAAGATTTAGAGACTTGGGTATAACTTTAGAGTAAATACAAGTCGGGTAGCTTTGACTCGAATACTCTATATTATACTTTACATTTAACAATTATTCAAATTTTAGTTCTCAGTTATTAAATATTTTTATCACAGGACTTCTTCCCATTTCTACATTGTATAAATTGCAAAATTTGTAGTCAAACTAAACGCTCGCTATTAAGTAATCAGAATCAAGTTTTGTATGGCAATTTATGGCATATTACTTGACTCTGCCATGTCATTTTTCAGCATGAAGCGCAACAGCAGGTCATAGTCACAGCGCCCATGCAACAGCCTTGTCACGTGTCTGAGCTAAAGTTGAATGACATTTTTGTGTGTTGTTTGTGCCAAAAAGAACAGCAGAAAAAACAACAGAAAAACAAAAACAAAACAAAAATAACATGGCGCCTAGCAAACTCAGTGGCTGAAAAGGGTGTGAGTTGGCGTTGCCTCTGTTGCGTTTGCAGTAAGCAAATGTGGCTTACAGCACATTTGGCTTATGGCTCGGTTTTGGCTAACAGCACGCCTTTGGCAGCAGCAGTAGTAGCAGCAGCAGCAGCGCCTCGGGGTCGCCAGATTGTACAAGATTATGTGCTTTGCAGTGCGCCGTCATTAACTTTTATGGCACTTCCGTTGGTCGGATGTGGTTAGCAGTGGCAGTGACTTCGGCAATAGTAGAAATGGCAGCGACAGCAGCGACAGCAACAAAAACGCTGCTTTTTTTTTTGTTGGCTGCCTGTCATGCTGCTTATTTGCCATACAGAGCGTATACGTGATTTTTTCGTTGCTGCGTGCCAAGTGAGTATAAAAAGGGTACGCCAAAAAAGAGCGAAAGCAAGACAGATAGAGTAAAATAGATAAAGCGAACGCTTCAGAACTTCACCTGTGAAATTCCCAACGGTGAAGGCATTCGAATCTCGTCTTTTTGTTGTTCCATTGACCAAGAATACAATAGTTGCTCCTGTTACGGCTGTGGCAACTCCCTGTATGTGTATTGCTTTCAACAAGTTCGATAACAATTTAACAATGGCACGAAAATTGCATAACTCAGTCGAGCCAAGGCATTCGACATGCCTGAAGCACTTAAAAACTTTTAAGGAAACCATTTAGAGGATCAATTGGAATTTCCTAGCTTTAGTTGGACTTTTGCTATTATTAAGATTCAAATTTCGTATTTTTATTGCAATTATCTACTAACTGCAAGCTGTTGAGAAGCTTGTCAAGTTTCTGTGGAAACTACATTTTCGCTAATCATGTAGTATTTCCAAGTCTATCATATACGTCTAATATACTAGAGCATTATATATTGATCTACATCAAGCACTGGCAATAGCAAATTTATCCGCAATCAATTGGCTGCGGTTAAATTGTTTACATATCGTATACGCAATCCACATTATAGCTGCAATCTCCAAATGCAAAATAAATGGAAAACTAATGAAAATATGATGTGAAATAAGCGCCAAGTGAGTGCATTCTGTGTGTACGATGCAATTATTTATAATTAGTTTATTCTGGCGAAAGCTAATTATGAACCAGAAATAATATTAGATAAACTCATTTTCAATTCACAGGATATGCGCACAAGGAGTGCGGCGATGATGGCGAATGGTTCAAGCATCCACTGACCAACCGAACCTGGTCGAACTATACCACCTGCGTGAATCTGGACGATTTGGCGGTAAGTTGAAAATTGAAATTACAATTGAAAATTTATGCTTAAATTTAATGCGCCTTTCATTTGCAGCGCAATCACAATGTGAACTTGATCTATGAGGTGGGCTACAGCATCTCGCTGCTGGCCATATTGCTATCGTTGGGCATCCTGAGCTACTTCAAGTAAGTCTCTAAGTTTAGCTACACTCGTGCTTGAGATGTCGTATAAAAGCACTTAAGGCTAATGAGCCACATTTGCCAGTTGTTGTTATGGTCTTGGCCCTGGCGCGCTTGGCGCCAAATTTTATTGTTAAACAAAGATGAGGCAAACGCTTCTCTAATCAACTGCCAAAGAGCTCAACATGTGTGTGTGTGTGTATATATGTATATGTGTGTGTGTCTGGATCTGTCTCTGTCTCTGTCCCTGTCTCTGTTCATTGCACTTTTCATGCGCCCATTTAATCCGCCACACTTGACGTCGGAAATGAGAAAATATTTGCTTTCTTACCAAGGCCTCCACATCGGCAGCTAACTTTACCTCTGTCGCTCTCTCGCTCGCTCGCTCGCTCTCGTCTCATGTCGTCCCATCTTGCTCCCTCTTTATCATTTTCATTGCCTGCTGTGTCGTACGTCAAGTGAGTATTAAATTGTGTGTCTTCTTCAAACAGGATATCGATTAATTTCCACTTGTCTGCAGCACAATTAGTGCTCTTGGCTTGTTTATTATCAGCTCAGACAAAAAGACACGCAGCCTGACAGAGAGAGACAGAGAGAAAGAGTACAAGCAAGAGAGTTAGACTGAAACAGCTAACCTTTGGCTAAAGCGTTTTCAACTGTGTGCAAAGGGCTAATAAAACGTGCCACCAAATGTGCCAGGAGTTTCGTTTAACTATGCACTTAACTAAACCAATGTGAAAGTACATAAAAGCGCAAATTAATTGAGTGTGAAAATTAAACGCAGACACACAAATATTTCGCGTAGTTCAATTAGTTTAATCGATAATAAAAATTAAAATTTTCGCACTCCACATAACTTTTTTTTTATATTTTAATCTATATATATGGATTGGAATTTTAACAAACAAAAGTTTAATCGACTCCTTAAACCGATTTTAAATATGATAGAATTTAATATAGAAATTTATATATACATATTTGAAAATGTTGACATTCTTAACAAAATAAATAATATAAAATTTAAAAAATAATAATAATAGTTTATATTAAATAAATACATAATATTCTAAAGTTTCTTAGAAATAATAACCAGTATCATAAATATTCCTTTATTTCCTTAAATTTTCATTTCTGTCGCAAATTTAGCTAAAATAAAAGAATCCCTTAAGCTCGTATATAATTCAGACAGTAATCCCGTTAGGGCTTGGACAGCAAACTGCCTTAAGCCACATCAGAAATGCCAAATCCTGCCAGCCAATCTATTTCTAGCTGAACCGCATTTATCTAACTCATCTATCTGCGCCAGTAAAAACTGTCTTAGATATTATTGCATTAGAAACGTCGGACATTGCAGTCACATATGGCAAAATGTGCACACAACCTGTGTGCACACCGAGAGCTGTATCCAATTTGCATGGCATGCATTAATTGGCCAGCTCCAACAAGATTTCATTAATATGCAGCACGGCTCTTGGCCAACTGCCAAAATTCGGCAAATGCAGCCGCAGCGAATCTAAACACGACTGAGATGCGAACTGAAAAATGAGAAATGAAAGCTCACAGCATGCTGACATTGAAACTCCATTCACATCCCAAACAATTTTTATATGCCCCATTGGTTAGTCCACTCTGTGGCCATCTCAACAATGAGAGTCGTGTGAAATGCAAATACGAGTTTTCGGAATGTATACCAATATTTGAATACGACAAAAAAATGGAAATTAAACGAATTCTTGTGTGTCATAATATTTGGGAAAGACCATGTCGGGGGACCCTGCATAAATTTAGATTTCCAGACTATGAGATGCTCTGTAGACTGTTGTTGTATACAAAACAAAGTGAAAACAAAAATCCAAATAGAACATAAATATTATAAATATTAATGAAATCATATACATTAAGCAGAAACATTATATTATATGATTGACTTGAGATTCTAAGTTCTTTATAAAACAAATCTTGCAGATTTTCATATTCTACTGTTCCTATAAAGTCTAATGGTCATTAATAGCAGCTATTCAAGATAATAAATAAGTCACATTATAATGAGGATCATCATCACACATCTAGAACACGTCTCGTTGTCCATAGTTTACGTGTTTGATGAATTATATAGATCATCAGGAGCTCACAGAGCAAAAAGACCTAAATAATGTTTCATACATATACATTTTATAATCCATATCTCTGTAAATCTCCATCTTCAACTCCAACTAATCATTTCATTTCTTATTTCCAGATCTCTGAAATGCGCTCGCATCACGCTTCACATGAATCTGTTCAGCTCATTTGCCGCTAACAGCTCGCTGTGGCTCATTTGGTATCTGGTTGTGGTGCCCAACTCGGAGCTGGTGCAGCTCAGTCCGGTAAGCAGACTTAATGAAACCCAAAGCCCAGTCTCTGAAATTGAATTTTCAATTTGTCTTCCATCTTCTTCTTCTTTTTTTCTGTTTTTTGTTTCAGGGCTATTGTGTGGCTTTGCACATAATACTGCACTATTTTCTGCTGACGAACTATTCGTGGATGCTGTGCGAGGGCTTTTACCTGCACACGGTGCTAGTCGCCGCTTTTATATCAGAGAAAAAGCTGGTCAAATGGCTGATAGCCTTCGGCTGGTGTTCGCCGGCCATTGTCATTTGCATCTATGGACTGGCACGCGGACTCAGTGGCAGCAGAGAGGAGAATCTACAGTAAGTGCAATGCAACATGATGTCAGCATGTGTGTATGCATGTGTATGTGTGTGTGACTTGCTAAATTGATTGTGTGCACGCGTACATGCAAACCGATTTGCAAACTCAAATCAAATCAAATCAATTGTAAACCAGCTCGTTTGCAATTCATTAGATGACAATTCGCCCACAGACTTAGCTCATCTCCATCTCTGTCTCTCTCTCTCTCTCGCGCGCGTCTCTCTTTCCAGCTGCTGGATGACGGACACAGACTATAACTACATTCTGATAGTTCCCGTTTGCATTTCAATCTTCCTCAATTTACTGTTCCTTTGCAACATTGTGCGCGTCGTCCTGCTCAAGCTGAATGCCCCCGCCAGCCTGCAGGGCGGCTGTGGCCCCTCACGAACCGTACTTCAAGCATTTCGGTAAGTTTTTTTCAAGCGCAAAAATGGGGCCAACAGAAAAAACAAACAGAGTCAAGTCCCAAAAGTAAAAGACTTCAATTCAATAATAATAATAATATGTAATTTGCTTACTCACACAAAAAGTGCCGACGACAGGCCTTCGGGGCGTATGCGTAATAAACTTGTTTTTCTTCAGCTCGTACTTTTCCTTTCATTTTCTGTTCGTTTCCTTTTTCGTCGCGCTGCGTTCGAAAGTTTTTTATTTTGCTTCATTTTACATTTTAAATTACGCATACGCCGCGTTGACTTGCATTTTAATACGCTCGTCGACAAACGAATTATACATAAGTCTAAGTATTATTACAATCCGACCCAAACTCACTCTCTTCTTCCCATCTTCTGCTCTCTTTCTTTCATTCTTTACCTCTCACTTTCTAAATTGCTCTTCCTTTTTCTTTGTCTTTTTTCACAGAGCTACGTTGCTGCTGGTGCCGCTGCTTGGCCTCCAGTATATGTTAACGCCGTTTCGTCCTGGCCAAGAGCATCCCTGGGAGTATACATACCAAGTCATCTCGGCATTTACGGCCTCGTTTCAAGTACGTAATGCTTTCTGTTTCAGCTTTTTCTTTCGGTTTTTTTTTTCATGTTTGAATACCACTCATAAAGTGGAAATGTGAAAACTAGTTTGAGGTCAAAATGAATTGTATTTCAGAAAATGTTGAAAATGTTAATATTGAATGCTTGAAAATTATCTCCCGTTCCATCTTCTACTTGCATTAATTTCTTCTCCTAACTTATTCTTTTCCACAAATTCTTCGTTTTCATCTCTTTATAATAAGTTCTAATATAAAATTAATTTGCTTAATGATCTAAGACTTCTATACAGGGCAGTTCATAGTTCAGCTGACTCTGCAGCTGGTGTTCCTTGCCAGCCAAGTTTAATATTGTTTTATGACCCCCACACAGGTTGAGCACTTTTATGCTCTTAGTGTATGTAAATTTCTTACTCGGCTGCTTTGATTTAAACTTAAATCCACACGCTTGGAATTTGCACTTGCGAGCGATGGTAAAGAGAAAATGGCAGAAAATATGGTTATTTAATTGGCAACATTTTTTGCTGATTTTACCAAGCAGATATTGGCCATAATTTATGTAAATAAGCCAAAGTCCGTGTCAGCGCTTGTTTATTACAAATTTCCTCCCAATCATAAACCATATCGTTGCCGTAACGCTGAGGGCTAAATTATTAAAATGCCAGGCACATGCTTGGGAAACATTCATCCCATCCCAAAGCACACAAATCTCAGCACATTTAAATGCGACCAACTTCTCAGTCTCAGCCAGAGACTGTCAGAAACGTGAAAGAAGAAAGGCCAAGGCAAGCAAGTGAAATCAATAAACAAACATGCTATGTACAAAATTTGATTATGATATATTATCTTCGATATTATCATGAATAATCATATTGAATTTGATTAATCAAGGCAGACGACTGTGAAAAATTAATATAACCGATAGAAAATGTGCAGGAAATACTGTGGAAAAGTCAAAGAATTAAAATTTTTAAAGTCAAAATTAAAGTTAGAAATATTTTAACTTTATGTTAAATAACATTTTATGTAAAATAACATTTTGCATTTGATAAATTGAAAAAGTCAAGCTTAATTGTTTGGAAAGCTAAGCAAAATAAACCACAAATTTTCTTCTGGATTTTGAAACTTCAAGTCAAATCGTGGCACATAAAACCAAATCGTGCTTCAGCTTATTTTTAGCTGCTCTTTTAGCTTTGACGCAAATAACTATAAAAATCCAAGCGAAAGTGTAAGCTTCAATGTCTGCGGTTTGCTGCATATATATATGCTTACAGTTAAATACAAAAAAAAAAAGGGAATAAAGAAAATAGCAGATTCTCATGTCTTGTGGTCTGCCTGGGGGCGTGGCAGTACACGCTGCAGTTGAGCTGCAGTTACAAGACTTTTAGCAAGCAATGCAGAAAAAGAAGTAAAAACAAATCGCGCAGACACTCAACTACAGACATTTCTTTCTTTCCCGGCTAACTTTTGCAAATATTTTATTTATGTACGGCATCAAAACAGAAATTGCAAGCATACGTTTAAAGAGCACAGGAGACATTAAATAATAAATAATAAAATAATAATCACTGTCATGTTTACTTTTTAATGGGATGTGCCAAGGTAAACTTTAGTTTAGCTCAACTTTAGCTTCAGCTCTAGCTGCTATATAATCCTATGTGTTTTCCTGCCACCAAACTACACCATTTCAAATTGCTGAAATCCCCAGGGTATTCGAGTAAAACACAATGCACTGTTTATCTGCGACTTTACTTTACTCTTTGGCTACCCCCAAAAAAAAGAGAAAGGAATCGCTGAGTGACAAATGCAAAAGCAAAATACTTTTGCTCAAATGTTTTTAAAGCCAGTAAGCAGCAACTTTTTATTATTGTATTATTTGTTGTTGTTATTGTTGTTGTCGCTCCGCAAATTGCAAAGTTTTCATCAAGAGGCACTTTTTACTTTGGCGCAGATATAATTTCGGATTTATTGTGCCGGCTGCACTGCGCACAACTCTCATAAAAGATTCGGTACAACTTTTAAGCGCCATAAAGTCCATATAATATTAAGTTTATATATGCGAGATGATTTCATCAGCTGCACAATGGCCAGCGCTGCGAGCCGAAACTAGTAAGGGAATGAGTTTTGTGACTTCATGTCCTTTTGTTTATGTTTTCTGGAAAAAAAAAGAGATGGACGTAGTTCTGGCGTCAACAATTAACTTTTGATTATAGCCCATTAAAAATTAATTGAAAAATTGAAAACTGAGCTAAAGAACTAGTTTGACTCAGCTTCGCTTGTCTGAACTGAAGAATTTATGGATGAACGTATCAGGTTTTATAATGAATCGTAGCTTTAGTATGCATAATGTAGGATTTTAAACTGGAGAAATGTATATTTATTATAATATTTGCTATCATTGAAAGAACTTGGAAATAAAATACTTCAACTTTCTCATATTTCATTCCAATTAATTTAGATTTACATTTTTGTATGAGTTGAGAATTTTAATCTGCTACCTTGATTTTTTCTCAATGCTTCTGCTAATCGTATAAATATTTTACATTAGCCTTGCTGGCTGCGTTTCGACAGACAGAGCCAAGAAATATGCGACTGACATTTAAAGACAAAGCTATCTATTAAATGCCTTATCTAAGCGTGCGCTGCAATTAAAGTCAACTTGCTGCACAAAGAAAAATATGAAGAAAGCAAGAAATAAATAAAGAAAATTTTTTAATTTGTTTGATATGGCGAGGCACTTTTATTCATCAAATGCCGCAGCTGGAATTTTCAATAAATATTAAAAAATATTTGCTCATATACGAGCATATAAAGAATATATGTGGGGGAGCATCAGTGTTAAGGCCAACTCAATCTTTGAACCCCGACATCTACAGCAGAGGCAGCAACTGCAGCAGCTGTTGTTATTTTCATACAAATTGAATTGAAAACTTGGCAGCAAAAGTCACATACTCTTAATGGGAGCCCGGACCGGACCATAAACGAGAGCACATTTGTAGCAAAACTTTTTGGCTGTCTACTTTGCTAATTAGTTTCGCAAACAGTTTGCACTTTTTGGCTACTCAAGTAATTAGCAAATCATCGTGTGCAAACAGCTACAAGAGCTGAGTTGCATGTCACGCTGAAATCAAAGGCACCGACTACAGAGTATTCACAAGGTAGCTATTAAAATGTTGTTTCAGCCTGTGTACACACACTTCTATCGCCGTCTCCTTCTCTACCTCTTTGTCTCTCTTTCTACTCACTCTCATCCTGCTCCGAGACTGAGTAATGGCAAACATCAGTTTGCATAATAACTAGCTAAATAATATTCAACCTACATAGAGTGAGCCCAGCTGCGGGACTTATTACGGGCAAAGCCGGACGGCTAAAAGAGAATAGGCAAAAACCCGTAGAAAATCTTTATAAATGCGCAGCAACCACAAAGCCAAAGCAGAAGCAAAACGAGTATTCAAGTCGACTTGCAATTTCCCTGTGGCTAGCTCTGAAACATAGTGTAAAAACAGTTATGAAATGCCTCTGTTTAAATGCCAAATGCCCCGCAGAAGTTATGTTTATGGGCAAGTTTTACCACGAGAAATTACTGCTACAACTGACCTCTTTGGTTAACTGTAGGCAGTTACCTGTCAAGGGAAGACACTTTTTAGCTGCCCCGAATTCCAGCCTATTGGGATTCAAATGGCAAGGACAGCTGCGTCGCTTAGTCTGTAGTCTGTTAAACGTGTTTTCAGGACTGCTCATTGAGGTTGGGTCCCTTATGGATCCATCATATTCTTTTTGATTTCGTTGATGGTTTCAAGCTTTGCTAATTGAAAGGTGACTCAAAGCACTACTATAAAGCACTGCTCCTTAAATCAGTTAGACATTAATTATGTTTTGAATACTTTATGGAACTAGAATATATAAGGCGAATAGCAAAGCTATTACTATAATTATTCTGTCAATTAAGTAAAGCAATCAATTATATTTGGTATAACTGGCATAATATTTAGTACGTACAATGCCAAAGAATGTGCCCATGTGTGTGTGTGTGTCTGTGCGAAAGTGTGATTGAGTTATGGAACAGTTCAGGACGTGTGCATTGCCAATCAAGTGAAGCCTTTTCTGCCTTTTGCCAATTTCATTTATATGCAAGCAATGTGTGAATGAAGCAATCCTGACAAAGGATCCTGCACGTAGGCAACTATATGCATTCAAGACGTAGGTAAATATACACACACACGTACACACACACTCATACTCCATCTGCTCTGCTTGACAAATGATAAACAACGTCAGCTCTGTCAGGCGACAATTGAGTGATACAAAACACATTTAAAGATACAGAAATATTTGCTAGAGATACAAATACAAATGCAGATAAATTTGCAGGCACATTCACAGATACATTTGCAGGCTATGGCTACAGCTGCGTCTGCGTCTGCGTCTGTTCGCAAAATAAATTGTCAACAGTTGAGTTGGACCCGAAATTGGCACATAAACCAAATTGCATTAGACTTAAGTAGCAGCGTTTGCGTCTCGTCCAATGATACAATAACAATAAGAGAAGAACAATAATAATATTTCAACTGGCAGTGCAACTACATGGACCAACTGAAACTCATTTTGTATTCGCAGGGCTTGTGCGTGGCAACATTATTCTGCTTCTTCAACGGCGAGGTGATTGCCCAAGTGAAGCGCAAGTGGCGAACGTTCTACTTCAGTAGTCGACCTCGGACCAATTCCTACACAGCCACTCAGGTCTCGGTAAGATTTCATATGAGCTTCACAATGCTTCTATTTTCTTTTCTGGCTAGATTAAAACGGGGCTGTGGCGCGTATGCGTAATGCAAGCTAAGCTAATGCAATAACTGAATACACACAAACACAACCACACACACACACACACACTATTGGCAAATAACACTAATTCTTGCTGATGATTTAAATGCATGTAAAACATACACACACACAAACACACAGATACACAGTTTACATAGAGAATCGCACCGTTTTCGCAACCTGCCAACCACCATGATAGCAAATTCTCAGTTCTTTTGATTGTAGTTCGTGCGCTGCGGTCCGCCAATGCCTGGCGAGGAGAAGGTATGACTAAAGGATCTATCGTCATCAGCTAAGCGACGCGCCTCCTCAGCACCCCATCACCACCAGCAACAGCAACAACAGCAGCAGCAACAGCAACATGAGCTGCAACAACAACGCTCGCGCAGCCAAAGTATGGCCCTGACAGGAGCCGGTGGCAGCACGTCCGGTCTTATCGATGGTTGGCGTCAGAAACTGCATTTCCTGCGACGCCCCAACGTAGATAATGCACACCAGCGACAGCCGCTTATGGAGGAAGCCGCGGCCAATACGCAGTTGCAGTTGGCAGCTGGCAATATGCAAGTGGAGGTAGCGCTCCAGCCGCAGCTGATGACGACAATAGCAGAAGATGTTGCCGAAGCAGCGGCAGCAGCAGGTGCAAGAGAAACGGCAACAACGAATACAGCTGAACAGCGCAATGGCACAGGTGCATCTACAGGTGTTGTCATTGTCAGCGTAGATGCTAGTGGGCAACAAAATATAGCCGATGAGGCGCTCTAAACTAAACACAAACAAACCCAGTCACAAAAACAATTCTGTTACAAAAATTTCTCATAGTCTAAGCCAATTTTAAGTAGCTACCCGCCCAAAAAATAAGTTAAACCAAACAAAAATGGAATGCACCCCACCTACAACAATAACAAAATCAACGGTCGCCCGATCTTTACAACGAACAATGTGGAAATTTTAGCAACAATAAAAATAATATCATTGTAAAGTTGCATTTCCCACTAAAAAAAATAAAAATAAATAAAGAAAAAGTTCGGCACCTCAATTTCACAGCAAATTGTCGGAAAAATGTGTTGTTAAATGCCTGAATTATATATAAACAGTGTTGAAAAACTGATGTGCTAAACTAACCCCAACCTAACCCTAAAAATTACACACATTAAATAAAATGCAGTGCAAGTATCAATGTGTATCAGAAATATCTATGCTATTGATATAGCCCACCCTAATATCGATTAAAATCAAAAGTTTTTCAACACTGCAAAAAAAATCTGGCTATTCCTAGACCTAAGATAATTTCAATAAAATTTGCTGTGAAATTGAAATTCAAAATACAAAATTTCCTGTTGGAACGACTAAAGTATCCTGCACAGTGTTGTAAAAAACTAAATGCAACTAGCATTTAGTTAAAGGCATATTACATCCATACATACATATGAATATGAATATATTTAAATCGCAACTATTATATGATTATTAAGAATTTACGTGGATATCAAATATCATTGTTGTCTTAAGTGTTATGTGTCCCAACTATTCATGCATATGTGGCTATATCGATATAAATACCTATATATACATATATATTTATATTTATGTGGTAAGCTGAGCTTTCTAACATTTTTAACCTAAGCGCTTTTCACTATTCTAGATGAATGCTACGAGATCTGTGTATATGAAATATATATAAAAATATATATATCTAAATATATTAAATGGAATATAAAGCAAATTTAATGTATTTTCATTGAGCACTTCACAATGCGCTTATAGCGCTTTTATTACTAAGCCATTCGACAGCACTTTGAATCCGTAAAGCTGCTGCGCATTAAGCTTAATTGCGCCTTTTGCAACACTGTTGCTCAGGTAAGTGTTATTAAGTACTAAGCAGCTAACAAATTATCTGTTAATTAGCAAACTTTTACGCTGCTGTTGAGATTTTATGAAATGAACCTTCCGGCTCTCATTGGACAATCTCGGTGGACAATCCTCCTGCTGTCACCTGCTCCTTTTCCTGCACCTATTCATGGAGTAACGCCCTCGGGCTCTCAACAGGACGTTGGTCCTTTTAGAGAGAAATTGTAATTGTACAGCATGATAAATTCCATTGCCGAGTCCTTTGTCTATGGCTGTGCTAATTTTGGTCGACAGCACAACGGTAACCAGCAACAACAATGACAACAACGACAGCGACAACAACAACAACAACAATGGGAAGTGGTCTGTCCGCGTTTTGTTTGACAGTTATTGAAACATATTTGTACAGAAGTTGACTTCTGTGCACACTTGGGCGCGTTCGCATTTTTGCAGCCGCGTTGTTTTGATGGCCCTTTAATGATGTAGCTGATGATTGTGTGGCAGGTTGCCATGGCATACCGCTAGCCACATGCCACTTGCCACATGCCACACGCCGCATTTGCTGCACATCGAATGCAACCAAGAGCTGTAGCTGCTGCTGGCCCCATGTTTTATGCATGTAAAGCAACGTGTTAAGTGTCATTTTATTGCGCTTTAAATTGAGAGAGATTGTGTGAGCTGTGCAAGTATGTGTGACTGTATTATGTGTACATGTACAACCCTCTCGACTGGCTTTTCATATTTCGCGCTCGCACAGCTTGTAGAGCGAGCAACTTAAATGCCAGCCAAGTCAAAACTTTGCTCATCAAACGTGCTACAAATTTGAAATGAGCTGTTTAATTGAGTGCGTGTTTGTGAGTGTACATGTGTAAGAGTATGTAAGGATGTGTGCTACTGTGTGTGTGAGTGCGTATGTGCGAGTGTCGAGTCGAGTGCCAAGTTAAGTGCATGACAAGCCTTAAGACCTCGAGCCAGCAACAAAAACTTATAAAAAGCCGTTGCTTTGAGATGCTCAAGCGCAGCAGCACAAAAGATTCACAGCTCCTGCTTGTGCGAGCACTTAAAGCAACCTGAACTGGACACCTTTTAGAGCCACAACTCAAGAGCGATTCCAACAGATAGTCAACAACAACAACACGCATTGAAAAGTTGTCTCGTTAAAAATAAATGCATTCTAAAGAATTTCAGTAAAAAATAATTTTATCTTTTAAATACAACACACAAATAATGTTAAAAATTCCCATGAGAATTTGTGTATGCAGATGCATATATCCTTTTATGCGTTACATGTAACATAATAAAATTATAAGACCTTCTATACTGACATATATACATACCGTATAAATATCGTACAGCATTCCAGTGTGAACAAAAACAGCTCACACTTATACTCTCTCCCGCTTCTGCATAGACTTGCTTTAATTCACTCAAGTTCCCGCTCTCTCTCTTCTGTCCTCTCACTGGATGTGGATTGCATTTAGGTGCGCGCCATATTCTTTCTTTACACGAAAAAAAAAAAATTCGGAGCAACGCAATACACGAATAAAACATATAACTTATGCTTTTAGTTTCACTGTGGTAAATTTTTAAAAGCACTGCACTTTACATAACACACAGAGCACTTAACATTATATTTTTACCATGAAATAATTGATTTTCTTTAACGGACACACAACTTACTGCAGACACACAGCTTCAACGACCGATCAACAGGAGAGACACGAAGTAACTAAATTGCCTTGGCTCTCTCCAGCTACAGCGCGCTCTTGCGGCTAAATATTCAAAACTAAGATCAATGCATCAAACGCGTTTGGAAGTTCTGTCTTTGCAGTCCACACATGAGAGAGCAACAAAAGCATTAATTAGTGATGGGACTAAAGAACTTGTCACATGCACTCGGATAATTGAGCTCGGTACTCACAGGGATTATCCACATGAGCTCTAATTGAGTCAAATAGCATTCCAGTTGAGTGCAAAAGGAAAATTTTGCACTTTATTATTAAGTTTATTTAAACTATTTTATAGAAAACTAATTTACAAAATTCACATAAATTTTGAAAAATGATTATGAAAGAAATAATCTCAAACTTTTACATGCTAAGTGGGACATGTTAAGACAGCAGTATTTCATAAAAAGAAAAGATATCTAAAAAATCTACTTCAGCAGGCAGTGTCTATAGCATATTTCAAATGTAGATTGCGCATACGCCTCGTGTGATGGCTGTGATAAGTTGTTGTTTTCTCTTGCAGCTGACGCATTTGCATAATGAACCCAATTAAAAGTTGGCTGTCTGCCAGCTGCAGCAGCTGCCGCCGCCGCAGTTAGAAGTCAATGCGATTTTTTGTTGTTTTTTGGCCTACTGCGTCTTATCCTTGCGCTGCAGCTCCTGCTTGGCCAGCAACTGCACGCGCTGGCTGACTATGCCCAGTGGCTTGCGTGGCACCAGATGACAAGTTGATTGCCTGAAAATAAAGTAAATAAGTAAATCAAGTTTAAATATGTAGAGTTGTACATTATTGTACATAATTTTAAGATATGTTTATCTTCAGTAATCCTTAACTCAAGTTAATATACTCTCTTTTAGCATGTAGATGAGCATTAGACAAATTTGTCAATTGTTTATGCGAAATACATACACATATATAAATATTGGTTATATATAGTATATATCTCAAACAGAAACCGCCTTTCTCATCATTAACTTATTCTCCATCTACAGACAAATCCAACTCACTTGTAGATGATTTTTTCCCGATCCGCCCAAGGCCAGCTGCGCTCCAGATTATCCAGTTTGAAGAGCAGCTGCAATGGTAAGAGACAGTGGAAAGCGAATGGGTGAGGTGTTGCACTAATGAGACGCCGCCTTGATTGGCTTTACCTTTTGTGACTCGGTCGGCGATGCTATTGTGGCCTCCAGCATGGCCTTTTGTGTTGTATTGGTTGTGGGCGCTGGCGTAGGCGTGGCTGGGCGCACCTTTGATGTGTCAGACGCATTGGCAGGCGTCTCCAGCTGAGGGCTTTCAGCGTCGCTAACGCGCAGCTTGGGCACATTTCGCAGATTCCAGGTGTAAGTGGTGCTCAGGAAATCGCTGTCATCGTCGTCATCATCATCATCATCCATCCCATCCCGCTCCTCCGCCTCATGCCCATGCTTCCCATCATTGCCATCATGTTCACTATGGTTAACAGCAGGCAGCTTCATATAGTAAACCGTTTTGAGTGCTGATTCATCCTCATCCTCATCCTCATCAGTCGTGTCTAGCTCCTCGTCTGGCTCATCATTCAGCTCATTTGTCGCGTAATTGACTTCCGATGCATAATCGGATTCCGGCGTCAAATCCTTTAGCTGCTTGGCTACACACTGTTGCAATAACCGCTCTTCGTCATCGTCCTCATCTGGCACCTGCAGATCATCCTCTTGTCCCGCCTCCTCTGGCTCAGCCTCATCCTCATCCCCATCCTCATGCTCGTCCTCACTGGCCAGCTCATAGTCGAGCGCATCCTCATCGTAGGAGCATTTGCGCGGCATATAGGACAGCTCCACGTCCTGCAGGCTGCCAAAGGACTGCGAAACAGTCTGCAGCGTTGAGGTTAGTATCTTGGGTATCTCAGCTATGGCAGAGAGTTTGCGCTGCATCTCCAGCAGGCGCAGCTCAATTGAGCTGGGCAGCACGCGGCCAGAGCGAGAAGCAAGCGATGCTACAGATGTAGCTAGATATGCAGTTTATGATTCTTGTTGATGATTCTCATTTATTGCAGTAGATATAGATACAACATACACGCACACGGACAGAACACACATACAGATGCAGATACAGATACAAATTGAAAGCGAAATAACAATACAGCAGCAAGTTAGTTGGAGGCGTGGCTGGGGGCTGTTGGGCTGTTGGGTTTTTGGTTGTGCGTCTTCACTTGGACTTGGATGCGGTGGGCAGAGCCATCAGCATGTTCTCAATGGTGCTGCTGCGCAGCTCCTCATTGTCGCCGACCTCCGCAAAGAAACGTTTAATATTCCGTATAATGCGATGGTGCGGCAGCTCCTGCACGCGTGGCAAAAACGAGAGATAGAGATAGAGAGAGAGAGAGTGAGAGTGAGTGAACAGGTGTTAATTGCATTTGAATATGTCAATTGATTTAATCACCTGCTCCTCCTCGTCCGAGGACTCGTCCTCGCTCAATTCAATGATCACCTCGTTGCCCTCATCATCTATTTGGGTTTTGGTTTTCTTTTTCTTGGGCTTTGGCGGCTCGGGCGGCTCTTGCCACATAATGGGATGCCAGCAACGCGAGCCAAGCAATGGGGTGGGGGTGAAGTCTACGAAAAAAATAAATAAACACATCAAAAAACAACCAAAAGTCCATCAGCTCACGATGCAACACATAGGCCAGCCAGACATAGGGCAAAGGATTCTGGAGGATTATAGGGTACATGGACAAGGACATGCTCTAGTCGTGCTTCGACTGCGACTTGGACTCACCCTTTGGCGGCGGCATCGGCTTCGGTACGCGCATCACTATGGACTTCTCCTCGCCGGCCTCAAACATGCCCGTGGGATCATCCTCTTCCATGCTGTCCACATTGCATAAGCAGAAGACATACACACATATATATAGATAATTTTGGTATATCTCTACGATTGGGGGCAACCTACTTGCGCATGAGGAGCTGCACTTTCTTGGGCGTTGCGTTGATGCGCTCGTGTGCCTGGGCCAGAGTCAGCTGCGTGGCGTCCTCCTCGTTTATCTCGAGTATTATATCGCCCAGACGAATGCCCGATTTGTCGGCTATACTATTGGGCGTTACCTGCAAGACGATGTAAATTTTTACTTTCCCTTTACATCTATTTCAATTTATATGTATAGTATATGATACCCTGCACAACTTTCACTTTCACGTACCGACCGTACCGACAGTCAACGCGCAATTGATCCCCAAATGTTGCGTAGTTCGAGTTTAGGTCGAACAAATATACAAATATATATATATATATATTTAGTAGAGACTATTCTATATACTGAGCAGATGATATATGACAGACAGCTTCAGTTGGCTATAGACGCTTATATATTTATGCATGCATATATTGTAGCTCTGTAGGCGTGCTCCCAAAAAGAAAACACAATGAGATACTTCTTGCTTGTATTTTAAAATAGTCGACGTCAAGTGTGCGCTACGGCAAAAATTTTGGGTAAATGGATTTTTATATAACAATTTATTAAATATGAGATATATGAAATGTATTAAATATAGATATGAGTTATAGATATACGAAATAATTGATATATATTTATGTATGTTTCGGCTTCTTCAAAATAAAAGTTGAATAATTTTATAAATTATTTTTTTAAGTATTTCATTAAGTGGATTACCATTATTTTTTGCTCGGAATATTTGTAAAATATTATAAATTATTTTATATTTCATAGACTTCAGGAAAATACAAAAATTATTTTAAAAAACTTAACTAATATTATTTGTATACTACCAATATTAAAAAAAAAAAAAAAAAAAAAAAATTAAAATTAATAATAAAAATAAACATATATTACAACGATTTTCCATATGTTATATATTCAATTTTATTTAATTTGAATTACAATTCTTTTTGTCTCTAACCCCAGCTAAATTACAACTTGCATTTCGGTTCGCTCATGCCCCATTTCGTGTAGCGCATGTGCAGCGGCATAGAAATAATAACAATTTCTTTTTCTGCTGCTAAACGGAAAAGCCATCGCCAGACGTCAAAACAGAAAGCAATACTACATAGAAAATACTTGCTAACCCAAATTTTTGCGCATTCCCTTTTGCTCAAGTATAAAAACGATTTGAAATGAGAACGAGCTACAGCAAAGCCGCTTACCGCTTACCGCTTGCCACTTGCCGCTAGACTCGCCTTTGTCGTTCAGCGCCACACGGCAATTGTCGCTCATACGCCCCATCGCACGAGCCGGAGCAAAGTAAAATATTTATTTCGCTGGCTGCGTTGATTTCGTCATAGCCGAATAAATCGAAAACATACGACAAAATGTTGCATGCGTTTCTTTTTGATACCCTGTAAACGCAGCAAGTCGATGTAAGAAGGGGTTTATATGTGAGAGAGGCGGAATTGAGCTATGGAGTAACTGAATATGCACTGAAATGCCCTTAATTGCTTTTGTATATATTTTAGATGCGGGTAACAGAATTTATTAAAATTGATAAGAATAAATTATCCAAAAATTCTGAATATATCTAATATTTAATTCGGACTATATCTAAGTTTTATATAGCTTTAAAAAATATTCTAAGACTCTTCTTTATATGAATAAAAAATATTAATAAATAATTAAATTATTATATATGAACGTAAGTTCCACCTTTAACTATTTACGGGGCATCTTTTAGTCAGTGTCGCTCCACTTGCGTAAAATGCTTTTGGCCAACCAAAACGAACGATATAAAAATTGCAGCTGTCGCATTGGCTGACAAAAGCATCGAACGGAAATTGGAAGTTGGTATAACGAAATGGAATGGAATATGGAATGGGTCGACAGTTGTGCAGGTTCTCAGTGGAAGCTGGGATCGAGTGCGGAAGGGGAGCCATCTTACTTACCTGAAAGACAGTTAAGGGCATATGAAATTCGGCGCCACCGGTTATCAGGAAACCCCACTTCTCGTCGTCCTTCGAGTCGTAGATATCCGATTCGACATCGAAAGCGGGAAAGCCGTCCGTGTCGCCGATGCCGCAGGATACTTTGATAATGGGCGCCTTCTTCTTTGTCTCGGGCGTGGACCACAGCAGACCCAAGGGCTCCGGCATCGTGATGCTGTTTTTATTATATCTGCTTTCTGCGTTTGCTATTCCCTTTGTTTGTTTACGTTTCGTATCTTTCACGCTCTCCCTCTCTTACGCCTCTTATCGCTGCTCTTTTTGTGCGTGGCTGCTCGTTTTATTTATAAATCTTGTGCGCTCGCACGCTTGCAATCTGCCCCTCCCTCTCGCTCACTGTCTCTCTTTCTCACTCTCTCTATTTGCCTATTCTTTTTTTACACTTTGCTGCAATAGTTTTTCTCTTCCATCTGCCTTTCCACCGATTCTTTGTTCTTTCTTCTTCTTTTTTGCTGCGCCTGTCAAAATTCACAAAATTTACCCATGCAAAAATAAATAATTTTGTGTTCTTTTTTTTTTGCCGGCTTTTCTTCGGGCTTTCCGCTAGGCGATGACTGTGCGAAAATTCGCAGTTAATTGAGTTTTCCACTAATGCAAACTTCTTTCATTTGCCTCTCTTATATAATCAGAATTTCACGCATTGCACAATGCATCAATTAGACTAAGAACTTCCACAATTTCCTTCCGCTCTCTGGTATTTCCGATTTACGGCTTAGCCAATTTGCTCCGGAATTTAAATACGTTTTAATTATGAGGGCAACTTTTATTTTAATTTATTCTATTTTCTTTTTCGAAGCGCAGAACTTAATGAATGTTTGCTTGGGATTTTCCTCTTCGTTTTTTTGTTGAGGTTTCCACAATTTTCTTTGGCTTCCGCACGATTGCACACGACTCGAGCAACTAAAAACCAAAAGGCAAAGCGCTCAAATAATTTCGAGAAGTTTGCCTTTGTAGTGCATTCGCTTTTTTATAGCCAGCCGCACGGCGACAGTTGCTGCTTTTATTACACCCTTCTACCCCAAGTGGGGTATATTCAATTATAATAAGTAATTAGAGATGGTTAGCTATAAAAGTAATTGTATAATGGCATAGAAGCTTCATTTCGTTGGGCCTCAACTACATTTACCATGTGAATTCTTATATAAACGAATATGAATCGCTTATGAATAGTAAACAGTGAGTTAAAAAGTAAATGCTCACTTATCCGAATAGAAACCAATGCTAAGGCAACATATTCAAGAGTTTCAGGTAAAATAAAACTAAATATTTAATCAATTTATAATCAGAATAGCTTTAATAAACTAATCTTGACATCGCAAGCTTCGAAATAAATGATTCCCTAAATGAAACCATAAACTTCATTTAATTATCTAACCATATATATAAGGCCCCTTGCTTATGCATCGCATATATCGGGTATATCGCAGTCGTTGATCATTTGCCATTATAATCGCGCGCACGTTTTCTTGATCTTTTATGTTTGCTTCTGCTCTGCTCTGAGCATTGGGATAGGTCCATTAAAAGTTTTCCCCACTTGTGAATTGTTGTTGCGTGTTTTCTTGTCATTCTTTTATTTTCATGCAGTTTTCCCATTTTTATTTAGCCAACAGACGCACTGTTCAGCTGCTTCTTTTAGCTCTTGCTCCAAGATTTTGTTTGATTTCGAAAATTTCATGATGAAATATTTCTAGGGAAACTCTCATTAGCTTGTTTACTCATGTTGTTTACCTCTGATTATTTTTGTTTATAAGCGTGCCGTTTATCTGCTTAATGTCAAGATGTCAATCGATTCGGGTAAAATTAAATTTATAATTATTGAAAATTAAGAGAATTTCTTTTTTTTCGCAGTTACTGAACTCGCCTGTTGATTAATAATATTTATTGCGTTTGAATATAAATCTGTGAATAATAGAGTAGTGAACGTTTATAAATAGTATATATTCTGTAAACGAAAAATTCCACAGCTTTAATAGGAAAACATTATAAAATCTTTATATTTCTATTCATAGAACTCTAAGTGCGATATCCTATTTCTTACTTAAATATAAGTCAAAGTTTATGTCAGAGGCTTTAAATTTCCGCCTACTTTTAATCAGCTGTATTTTGGCTTCTAGTTTTACATATTTATATTTACGCATTTGGTTCCATATATATATTTGTTATATATGTATTTAAAACAGTCAAGGGTTACTTTTACAAAGTGTTTTCGCTTGAATTGTATCTCACCTGCTTACCTTTGCTCTTTGTAATGCGAGATTGTTGTGAAACTGTTTAAAAATAAGTCTTTAGGCAAATAAATTCAGTTGACACTTGAGTGGAGAAGTCAGAGAACAATACGGACAGCGGCTCCTTATCAGCTGCTACCCACATATCTTGATCAAGGACGGCCAGAGGTGACAACAACAACAACAACAACAGCAACTTTTGGTTAATAACATCTACCGATAAGAATAATCAACAAATATTTGAAACCATTTCATTTATGTTTTCATTTTTGTTTTATTTGCTAAAAATACGATTAATTAAATATGCAATGTGTCTATGATTATTCCTTATAGATGGTATCATTGTTGAGCTCATTGGAGCTCACGTCGAGTATGCCGCAGCCCTGGGCATATTCGGAATCGGGTATTGCGTCAAAGTCATCTTCAACGCCGTTCGTCGCTGTTTGTGACTCTAAATCTTCGCTGGAATTATCTACAGCTGCTCGCTTCTTACGCTTTGGTTTCTCCTCGGATGAACTGTCGTCCTTGTCTTGGGCCTGTTCCTTTGCTTTGTCCTTTCCAGCCTCTTCAGATGAGCCGCTGGAGTCCGCTGCGGCGCGCCGCCGACGATTTGCGGGTGACGCGGTAGTAGGGCCAATCTCTTCGGAAGAGCCACTGGAATCCTTCTTTTCCTTCTGTGCTCTACTTTTCTCCTCTGATGAGCCACTCGAATCGGCTGCTCGTCGGAAACGTGCCTCGTGCTTGTGTCCGTGCAGCTCATGTGCCAGCTCATCGGGATGTGCGTGCGAATGCGAGTGCGAGTGGCAATCGAGATGATCCGGATCCTCAATGGGCTGGCGACGCTCACGCAGATGCTCCTGTTCCGTGTCCTCCATGCTCTGGCCACCCAACAACTTCAGCAGCTGCTCATCGGTCTCAGGCGTCTCCTGGATATCGTCCAGATTGACCGGCAAGGTCCATACCACATCCAGCATCAGCCCTGCCGCCAGCATTGTGATTAGCATCCATGAACGCATCCTGCTCAGTTGATAAATCTGCTCCTCTATTTGTTTTTGAATTGCTTGAATTGTGTATTGCTCGCGCTACGCCTTGTTTTGCTCGACTGAATTGCGCTGCTGTCCACACAGTTTCTTATGAAAGCTTATTATCACAATTGTGGAATTCTGATTCGCCAGCCTCTGCTCTGTTGATAATGCTCGCCGCGTTCAATTAAAGCAGCATCGATTAGCAATCGAGCTGCAAGCGCTGCAGCGGGCGAATCCAAATTGAGAATTTCAGCCTAATGCGGCTTTACTCTGCTTGCACAACACGCCTTTCGCATAAAAGCGAATCACGCTGATGCCCTAACAAAGGGAAGGTACTATGAAAATGTGATGAAATATGTGACAATATAAGGAAAAAAAGTATGTACTTCTGTAAAAAAAAAAAAAAAAATAGTTAAAATTAATTAAAGATTAAATCGATTGGTTATCAAATAAAATCTAGTTAAAAAAAAAAAGAAAATACTTATATGCCATTACTATCATAATCATCTACTATTATTACTATATTAAAATATTCATTTATTTATTTAAATATTTATATAAATTAAATATTTCATATATTAAATATTTATATAAATTAAATATTTCATATATTAAATATTTTTATATATTAAATATTTACTTAACTCAAAATATTTCAATTTATTCAAATGTAATATTAAAGTATAAAAGTGTCGACTATCGCCGCATAAGCACGTCATGCCTATTCAAATTTCAGAATGCGCAATTTAGTTGAGTGGACTGCATGCTATCTGTGTGCAAATTTTCAACTTGACTTGCATAATAAATACAAATTGAGCCGCTTCTCCATTCGAATTGATAAGGCAGATCAGCAGAGATCAACGTAGCTAGCTAACTGAACGCGCAATTTCTGATTATTTGATTATTTGATTTGAGACGCGGCGAGACGAGACGACATAAGACTCGACGAAAATTTAACAAATCATGAAACTCGAGCATGAATAATACAAAATAGTATAATGTATGTTTCATAACCAAATCAACAGCTTAGTTTTTCAATAGATAAGCATATCAATGCGTACTACGGTGCGTATGAGCTATAGATTGGACCGTAGTCCACAGTGAGGGCAAAGCATGCGCTATTGACCTGGGACGAAACGCAAATGCCACTCGTAATCCGCAGCGGCGTCAACAACGGCCGTCGATAAGTAAAAGCCGTAATAAAGTAAAGGATAGGCCAGACGTGCGTCGCATACTCAACCGAAGAGCGAAGCCCAGCTGACTGAGTTGCTATAAAACGTATCTTTTGGGTGGCTCGAGAAAACTTTAAGATGCGTCGCCTGTCAAGCGTAAGCATTGCTTAGTTGACGCCTTTTGGCCCAACATTTAGCCGGACACGAAACAATATTAGGGACGAGCGATAACTGTAAAGTCCAAAAGGTGTTGCCTCAAGCGAAATTAAAAGCAAATATTTAACAGCTTTAGCAGTCAAAGCCTTGAAGCCTGCGCTACTTATATATGAGAGAAAAAAAGGAGAGTGGATTCATTGCAAAGGGCTGATTGAATTTGGATTCCCTGTGGAAGGTCGTGGCATAGCAGCTTCTTGCCTTTCTCTCTCTCTTTGGCAACATCAAAGCCAAGTTGGAAAGGAACGACATGAAATGAAACATAACCAAGCGAATTGACGAAGAAGAGCTACTGCATAATTTAAGTGAATTCAAATTTTATATTTGCGCCTTGCTATTTATACCCTGGAGGAAAGCTGTAGTGGGGAATATAGGATATAGGATATTAATACCATATTTTTATTATAGTTAATATTCTATATTTAATATTAGAATATTTCATTAGACTAAACTAATAAATATATCTAAAAATAAATTTTTGTTTATAATTTATATTTTTAATCTTTTTTTTATGAAATACTAATTATTAAAATACTAATTTTTTTTTGAGTAAGTGAAATTATAAATATTGTCATATTTTAATTTAATAATAATTATTATTAAATATATTTATTTTAGGAATCAAATCGGAATCTTTCTTTGAGCGTTTTAGCTGCCAGAGCAGAGTATCTATTGGCTGTTCTGCTCGCACGAATTTTCCTTTCAGTTATTGCCAGAAAATATTGCATTTTAGGTATATTTTTTATGCAAATTGCGTTTTGTTTGGCTTACGACACGGCGCACTGCAACATTTTATGCAAATCAACTGGCACCTGCTGTCCCAGCGACAAATTTCTCTTGACTCACACTTAAATTTGTATTCTCCCTACTGTCTCTTTCTCTTTCTTTTTTTTTACCTTTTTTTTGATATTTATTAAAAATTTATCAATGTCATAGGTTGGCCGGGCCATCAATCAACTTTGTGTTGAGCCAAGATTTGTTTAGGCGACCCAAAATCAGAAACAAATCGAACTCGATTGAAGATAGACGAAATTCCTATAGATTTAATTTTCAGCCCAAAAATATGCAAAAATTCCATTTTAAAATGTATATATTATTTAGTATAGATTTACGTATAAGCTAATTGTGTTTACTTCCCAGTACTCTAATCATATATAACTGCGCTTAGTTAACTGAAAATATTGTTACCTTATATATTTTCATATACAAAACGCGCTATATACTCATTTTTGTTAGATGTATTCACTATAATTACATAATTATAATTGTAATTAATAAT